GTGGCGGTGGCTTCTCTTTTAATGTCCACAGCTGTGATCAATAAAAAGCCGCGACTCTGCTGTCCCTGTGTGGCCCCAGAGACAGGCCGCGGCCGTGGTGGGTGGGGTCTGTTCACGGGCATGCTGGGCAGACTCCAGGTGCCTGCCCCTGGGGCTGAGGCAGGCAGGGGGCCAGGTGTGCATGGGATTGGGGAAGGGCCTCTGTCTGTTACGGACAGAGGGGGCAGCAGGAGCTGTGGTCAGACCTCGGCACCTGGGGGGCTCTGCAGGCCAGAGGCAGCCTCGGGAGGCCAGGAGCCCCCAGCCCTGCCACGGGGGCCCCAGCCGCTGCCAGGAATCACAGGGTCATCTGGGGCTGGGAGGGGGAGTCCCGGGGGAGGGACACTGGAGTCGGCCTCGCACTTGGTGGTCTGGCCAGAGAAAGGCTCAGCCACTGTGGGGCCCAGCATTCTGGGTGGCTCAGGGGCTCTCTGGGCCAATACAGAACCCAGCTCTGGTTGCCCCCAGGACCCTGAGGACACCTCGGGCACCTTGGAGGGCGTCCGTTTCACAGAGAGGTCGAGTGGCACGTCTGGGGGCCGCACGGCCTGCTCCAGCGCCTGGTGGATGGTGAGCAGCTCCCTGCGGATCTTGCCCAGTTGCTCCCGCAGCGGCCGTGGGGCCAGGCCCCTGGCAGGTGCCAACTGCCCTAGGCGCTGCTCCACCCTAGCATAGTCTCCGAGAGCCCGGGTCAGGTCCTCACACACATGCCCAGGGACCCCCAGCACCAGGCCCGGTGGCTGCTGGGACAGCGGGGAGACAGGGCCCAGGATCTCGGGGTCGCCTGGCTCCTTGTCCTCAGGCCAGAGAATCACGGAGGGGCCATTCCGCAGGCTAGGGAGTAGGAGCCGGTCAGAAGGCTGTGCTGCCCCCCCAGTTCCCCAGCCTCTGCCCCACTCTCTCTCGTGCCCCCTGTGCAGTCTGTCTCCCTGGCCTAGAGACCCGGGGCCCCGGAAGGACAGACAGACTGGCTCTCTGGTCTCAGTGTCCTCCCTGTGGCCTGAGGCACATATTCCTGGACACTAAGTCAGAACAGAGGCCCAGCCCTCCTCCCCCAACCTCAACCCACCCCCCAACATGACTGGGGAACCCTGACACCTACCTGCTCTGGGAACCAAAGTTGGCCAAGCTGGAGGGAGCCTTCGGGGGCTCCAGCGTGCTTCCCGGGGGCAGCTTCCTCTTGGGGTCACTTTGGGCAGCCAGCTCCAGCCCTCCCTCCTGCCCTGGGTCCCTGGGGGCACCACAGGGCCAGGGCCCACCCAGCCCAGGTACTGGCACTTTTAACAGCCCGGGGGCCAGAGTCCCAGGGGGTCCCTTGGGAGGAGCAGGGGGCTTGGCAGGGGCAGCGGCCTTGCCTGCCTGCAGCCCCAGGCTGTGCTCCAGGAGCAGAGGGTAGTACAGGCGGGGGATAGGGGTGGGGCGCTCTAGGGGCTGCAGGGCGGGGAAGGCAGAGGCTGGGGGAAGCAGGGGGCTGGCCGAGCCCAGGAAGGGCATATGGGCTGCCGTGGCCAGGGAGGGCCCCAGGTAGGAAAAGAGGCTGGGGCCAAGAGGGTAGTTGACTCCCAGCAGGGACAGCTGGAGACTGTGGGCCTCAGGGAACTCGCTGGAGGTGGGCGGAGGGTAGCAGGGGACACTGCTCTCAGGGCCCACTGCAGCTGAGTCTACCACAGCCATGCTCCTGGGGCCCCTGCCCAGCCCTGGCTTCCATGACTCGGCCAGGAGCCCTCCCAGGCCCACACCCTTCTGGGCGTCCTTGGATGCAGGGGGTGGTGTCCCTGGGGATCCCTCAGCCTCTGGTTTGGGGCCCCCGACACAGCGGTGCAGGGAGAGAAGGTCAGTGACAACGAGGTCGGGAGTGGCGGGAGCATCTGGGAGCCGAGCCCCTCGGGGTCGCCTGCCCCGTTCTGTGGGGTCAGAGGGGCAGTCCGTGGCGGGCTCCAGGGGCCGGGGTGTGGCAGGGGCCCGGCGGCACGCCCAGTCGGGGGAGTCCAGCAGCAGCGAGAGGGAGTCCTTGCAGAGGCTGTACTTCATGTGGTTGTACAGGTGTGACTTCTCCAGGCAGGTGAACGGGCACTGGAAGCACTTGTAATTGTAGGGCTTCCCCCAGGGCCGCGGGATGTAGTGGGGTTTCTTGGGCTTCCGTGCCCGTGCCCGCGCCCCGGAGCCCAGGCGGCAGGAGCCCGCTACCTCTCGGGACATGGCAGCCTGCTAGTGGACCGGCCACGGCACCATGGCCACCTGCAGACAAGGGGGCCCTGGTCAGTGCCTCTGTCAGCTCCCAGAGCTCCAGGGGTAGAGCTAGCTGGGCATGGCATTGCCTCCTCCCGGAGCCTGGGCTTCCCCGGCCTTTTCACATGTAGTTCGGACCTAGAACACTCTCCCCACCTCCCCCTTCAGTCCCTCTCCACCCACACTTCTAGAGCCACCAGGTGTAGATGATAAAAATGCAGGGATCCAGCCCTGGCCGGTGGGGCCCAGTGGCTAGAGCGTCGGTCCACACAGAAGGGTCTCGGGTTCGATTCCTGGTCAAGAGCACCCACCTGGGTTGCAGGTTCCATCTCTGCCCGGTTGGGGCGTGTGTGGGAGGCAACCAATCGATGTGTGTCTCTTACATGGATGTTTCTCTCTCTCTACCTCCTTCCCTCCCTCCCTTCCACTCTCTCTAAAAAATCTATGGAAAAAAATATCCTTGGGTGTAGATTAATAAAACAAAACAAACAAAAGAACAAAAACAAATGCAGGATGCTCAGTTACATCTGACTCAAATAAATGACAAATACTTTTTTTTAAAAGTATAATCTAGCCAATATTTGGAACATACTATAAAAAGCATTTGTCGTTTACCTGAAATTTAAGTTTAACTAGATATCTTGTATTTTATCTCTGCCTCAGGCCCAGCTAGCCCCCAGCAGGCCCAGTTCTGGGGTAATTCCATCCAGACCTGTTTCTGTTTACCCAACGGGCATTGGTGAGTGACTGGAAGAAGCTGAGTGTGACCAGGCCTGGTCCTGGGGGACATCAGCTCTTCCTTGTCTTATTCCCCCGCAAAGACCCCCTGCTTGTGCCGGGAAGCTGAGATAAAAGCCACTGCGATGAGCAGCCGGCAGAAGGCTCGAGCCTCTATGTGCACACGCATGAGTGTGTGCTCCTACTGGGTACTCGAGCTTTCTGAGGGGGTCAGCCTCACGTGGGGTGGGCCAGGCTGGGGGGCGTGGACGTCACAGCATGGCCCCCCAGCACAGCCACCTGCTCAGCCCGGCTCCATCTGGGTGGCTTCGGGCAGGTCAGCAGCCGAGCCTGCAGTTGCCGAGCTCGGCCAAGACCTCTTCCTCTTCCCATGCCCTGCATGCTCACTCAGAGCCGCTCTGCACTCCATCTGGGCCACCACCTGGGCTGTCCACTCCCCGGTGTGTGCCTGCGTGGGGCGCCAGGAAAGTGTGTGCACTCTAGTCGAGCTCTCACTCAGTGCCTGGAGGGACAGCCTCTGCACCGCTGGGCCGAGTCGGAATAGAGTGGGCCTCCAAGATTCATGGGGTCCGGCACCAGCACACACAAGACTCACACCACACCCGTGTGGACATGGTAACTGCATATGAATGTACTCACAGCGCAGGCAGGGTGCGAGCAGACACTCAGACACATTCAAGTGCAATGTGCCCACATACATGCACACTACATACATGGTCACAGACACTCTCATAGATGCGGACGGACACACTCACCCTGCTTCCCAGGGCTCAGGGATGGCCAGTGGGTTAAGCAGGGGGGCCAGGCAGCCGGGCAGCCACAGAGAGCAGGTTTTCTCCCTGCTGGCCCTCGGGCTCTGCACATGGCAGGCAGTCATGTCTGCCGCTCTCAAACACTGGGTGGGCACCCCCGAGATGGGGACGGCCAGAGCGGTAGAATAGGCTGTCCATGCGAAGAGGCCTTTGAGAGGGGGTTAGCACGGTCAAGTCCAGGACGTGGAAGGTAGGGTAAGCAGAGATTAGGGGAGCAGTTTGTGGATGTCTACATCTGGGAGGGGATGGGGCTCCAAGTGGGGTGAGGGATTGGGAGGAGGGGGCTGGGACCAGGAAAGGGCTCGGGGCTCCCCACAAGGCTGCAGACTGCCCTGGACTTAGTGGTGGGTGTAGAGGCAGGCCCCAGCCCCCAGCCCCCTAAGATACAGATGACAAATGGGCATGTATGCTGGGGAGACAGAGACGGCTGTGCTGGGGCCATCGATCACCCAGCCCTGGGAGCCACACAGCTGTGCTGCCTGGTGCCACCGCCCACCTCACCTCCCAGCCCAGTCCCTGGACTCGGGGGTTGGGGGTGGGGGTGCCCTCCTGGGCCCCAGGACTCAGGAGGAGCGAGTGGGGGGCTTGTCCAGGAACCATCTCAGCAGCTGCTGGCCGCACAGGGACCCAGAGGATGCCTGACACCCACCTGGCATGCTGTGCACAAGCGTGAGACACCCCCAGACACCAGCACGCACCCGCATGCATCCAAAGGCACATTCATTTGCACACGTGTCCCAACCCGTGACTGGGTGCATGCTTCCAGAGGGGCTTGCACCCACATTGCGCCAGCCCAGACCCCCGATCCCACTAACCTTTCCTTGTCTGGGGGAGAGCTGGAGGGGAGAAGGGACGCTCAGCTCCTGGAGCAGCCACCAGCCACCGAGGGATCACAGCTCACCCATCCCGCTGGCCCCTTTGGGACTCGGGGGCACCCCGCAAGGTGTAGGGTGGAGGGGGTGAGCAGGCTACTCCGTAAGACCCCAATCCCCTTCCCCCTTGCCCTCCCCAGCCTCGCCCTGGAGGGCGCCCTC